GCTTCAAAGAAGCAGAGTGGGTGGCACCTGACGAACAGTTGAGACCGAGCCCCTCGCCTCCACAGACGTGTGCCCACATACACACGCGTTCGTGCACGTGGGCTCCCTGGGCAAACAACAAGCCTTCTACAAACTGAGCACGTTACAAGCACGACCAGAAAGGCCAAGAGAAGCCCAGACTTGAGAGGGTACAACAGACCATAAACACCATCTTTATTACAAATGAAGCCGCATGGGGTGGCTCACGTCTGTAACTCCAACAATCAGAGCCGCTGAGAGAGGAGAATCAAGAGTTCAGGACTAGACAGCTTGCTAGACTCTGTCCCACCCCTACCCCCCAAAATAAGACAAATGAAGCCTTCTCCCAGCAGTGTGGCGGCAGGGTTCTGTGACGCTGTGCTCCCTGTGTTCTGAGATGTCAGGAGAACTGAAAGGCGAAAGATCCAGAAGGGGGATAGGCTTGTAAGGAAACAGTCGGAGGGGTGAAGAGAAGGCTCAGGGAGCAAGCACACTCACTACACAGCATGCGGACCTGAGTTCAGATCCCACATTCATGTAAAACACTGGGCATGGGTGTGCACCTGTGACCTCAGTGCTGGGGGACTGGCTGGGAGTCAGAAGACATTAGCTGGGCCTGTGGGCTGCCAGCCTAGCTCCAGATTCAGTGAGAGATGCCCTCTCAAGACAGTAAGGTGGAGAGTGATGGAGCAGCACACCCAACATCCTCTCCTGGCCTCCATACACACTTACGAACTTACTCTCCCCGCTCCCTGCCCAAAAAAAAGCTGGTTAGGGCTGGCTGTGATCGATGGGTCTAGCACACAGACAGCTCTGGCTGTGATCCCAGCACGAGAGAGAGAGAGAGAAGTTGAAAGCAACAGTGAGAGGATAGGTAGGAGAGGTCAGGGGGTAATACAGAAGCCGCTGGGGACCACAGGGAAGACAGCCCTTCCTCCCCGCGTCAGCCTGTTTTCAACCCGGGGAAGAAATCAAGAACGAGACAGACCCCAGCTCTAGGGACACTCGGCCAGCTTTTCATCAGCCTCCAGGACCAAAGGACTATGAACGTCTAGCTTCAGGGAGTCTAGGAGGGAAAGGCAGCAGGCTAAGTTGGAGCTGGGAAGCGAGTTCTCAGCGTCCTCGAGGTCCCTCCCACTGGAGTCCCTTGTCCCCAGGCTGGCTGCCCTATTCCAACCCCAGCTGTCTTCCTCCACTTCCTCTCTGTCCCAGGCCCAGGCTCAGAATCTTTGCATTTACCTTAAGCAGAGCAAGTAGCAGAGGTGAGGAAGGGAAGAGCTTCTTCCCCTTATTTCAAACAGTGCTCACTATGGCAGTGCCAGAGGTGAGCCTGTGGTTCCCTGCAGTGTGGACACAGACCACAGACCCCTAGAAGCCTGTGTTTCTGTTCGTTCTGTTCAGCATGCCCTGGGAGGTGTCTGGGCTTTTGAGGGGAAATCCCAGGCAAGAGACGTTATGAGCTTCTTTAAGGGCCTCCTTAGTTGGGGGTAAAAGCTAAGAGGAGGGGAAGCTGGGGATAGTCCCTGAGGAAATGCATCTTGTGACAGGAAATGGGGTAGAAACAATCCATTGGGTTGTGGCTTGTAGGATCTGTTTCCCAGGGGATATTAGCCTGATGCCCAACAAACTGCTCACTCCTCTTCTCTGCCCCAGCCTTAGTGAACACAGAGCTAGTGTGGGAAAAACAGTTCCAGAGAGGGTGAAAGGCCTGCATCTGGTCTTCCACCCATGCCCAACACCTGCCTGTTTCCTCTGCGCCCACAAATGCATAAGTGTGTGTGTGTGCACATGCATGCATGCATGCGTGCATGTGTGTGTGTGTGTGTGCATGTTCACTGGAGTGGAGACCACGTTAAGATGGGATAAGGGGTAAGGGGTAAAGGGGCAGAAGTCAGGGGCGGAAGGAGCCCAGGCTGGAGGAGGCCGGGCTTAGGGGCACAGGATGTGGTCTGTGGGAGAGTGATCTACACTTCTCCTTTGCTGAAGGTGCCCTCCCCCAACCCAGCTCTCTACCAGTAGGCCAAGGGAACACAGTCCTCCAGTGTCAGGAGTGTCCACAGAGGGGGCATGCTGGGGCAGAGCAAGCAGGAGACGGTTCAGAACAGTCCAGCAGCACAACGCTAAAGTACTTGGTCTGGGTTAGAGAGCGAGGGGATGTGGAGGACAGGGTACCGGGCAACTCTGGGCTTCAGTCACACACACACCCCTCCCAGGCTAGGAGTACCCAGCTTGGAGAGAGGAGACAGGTCAGCTGGACATAATGGAACCCACCTGCCTAGAACCTGGGCCCCGAAGAGACTGAAGAAGGCAGAGAGGGGCTTTCAGGATTTCCCACTTTACCACACAACTGAACCTGCACCCGGGGAGCCCTAGCTGCACCCTCAGGCGGAATGCTGGAGGAGGCGGCTGGGTGGGGGCAGGAGCTGGGAGGGGCTAGGAGTGCTGGGTAGTTTTCCCCAAGAGTCCACTCACTGAGACAGAGCCCTGAGGAAGTAAGAAAAACATTTGGTCTTTGTCAAAAAACAAGCAAAGGGGGGAGGGAAAGGGAACAGACGGCCAGTGTCACACAGCTGCTGAGGTCAATCTGGAGCTGGGGGGTTGGGGGGACCTGGGAGGGGCAAGAACGGCTCGTGGGGCTCACCCATTCCCAGGACTCACTCTGCGGTATGGGGGAAAAGAATTTAAAAACAGAGATTTAAACTTTTTCTCTCCAGAGCTGTAAGGGGAGATTGTGCCCTAGCCAGCGGGTGTGATTGCAGGTGGGCAGGCACCTGCTGGAGCAACGTGCTCTTTGATCCCGCCCTGGAGCTGAGAGGTGCAGAAAGGGGCCCTCACGCTCCAGCCTAGACCGGGGTGGGGCTCCCGGAATGCAGTCCTGTGTTCTGATCCCCACCCTCAGCTGCCAGCCCAAGTTCATAGGCTGCCTCCTAAGCAGCTGAAGCCTGACTCACCTGTCATAGTACAGTCCCCAGGGCCTGGCCATCAACAGACACAGGGTAGAGGGTACATGATTAGAGGGATCCCAAACACACACACACACACACCAGGGTGGAGGGGACATGATTAGAGGGATCCTGAGGGCGGGGACTGGAAAGAGAGTCTCCAGTAAGTCAGCACTCCTAACTACGAGATACAATTTCCTTCCTTTCAGTAAACTGCCTCAAGTTCCTCCCCTAAGGGAAAAGCAGAACCTGAAATGGTAATTCTAGGGTTCCTATGAGGTCACAGGCTCCACAGTGACCTCACAGAGGCAGGAAGAAGATAAAGGAGACAGCGACAATAGATGGAAAGTTAACAGCGGGGGATTCACTTCTTTCACACAGACGGGCTGGGGTGGACGCGGGAGAGGGTCTGGGACTTGTGGAGATTAGGGTACAGCAAGCAGAAACGTCGGGTTGTTAGGGGCGATCCTTGGGAAGGAGATAACTGGGGCAGCTGGGATCGAGGCGGAGGGGTGAGGAAGGAGTTGGAAACGACCAGAAGGATGAAAAATGCAGTGACTGTTGATTATAAGTGGGGGCTTGCTTTAAGGGCCCATCAGCTCTAGGACTGAAGAAGAAACCAGGCGAGGGGCGGGACCACGCTACAGGTGCGCAATATGCAAATAAAGGGGAGAGACTGAGAGAGCCCGGCCGAAAGTGTTGTGTGCAAGCTTGAAGCCAACTCATTGTCCAGTGGTTCCGATACGGCGGGGAGGGGAGGTCGCAGGCTCGATGCCAATCCCGAGGGGCGAGCCCTCAAGAGTGCCAGGTGAAGGGGTGGGCCCGCTTCGAACGCGAGGCGGGGCTATGCAAATGAGGGGTCGCGGTCCCGTGTGGGTCCCCTCCTCCTCTCTCCGGGCACCGGCGCAACTCACCAGCCTGGGTGATGTCTGACAGGTCGTAACTGCGGGCCGCGCCCCGCGGGAAGTGCTTCAAACGCCGGTTGGACAAGTTCAGGGTCCCGGTGGCCACAGCCTCCTCTAGGGCTCGTTCTGCGCTGCGGCTCCCGGGCAGACCAGGAGACCCCGGCACGGAGACTGAAGCTGCAGCTTCCTCACCCCCGGCGGCCAGTGGGCCCGCTACCACCGCCGCCATCCGCTCCCGGCGGTTCCCGCTGCCTGACTGACGGCACCGGCCGGCCCTCCTCGCCCCTCCCCCACCTCCGAGCCGCCGTAGTCGCCTCCGGGGGGCGGGAACGAGGGTCAGGAACCCCGCGGACCAATCACGAGCCAGAGACGCGTTAGAACTGCCCAATCAGAAAACGCCGAGGAGGTGGAGCTTCTGAGTCTCGACTCGGCCGAGGGACGGGAGGGGGTCAGTGCGGACCCTCGCCAACGGCCGCGGCTTCTGACCGGCCCGCCCCGCACAGCGACAACCAATCACAACTCTGGAGGCGAGAGCTGGAGCCAATGAGACGCACCCAGGAGGCGGGGACAACAGCCCTCAACTTCAAGGGATTAGAGACCCAGAGACCGCAAGCCCGAGAGTCCGGCCCTCTTTCAAAGGAGACCAATTGCAATCTAGAGACGGGCGAGTGACTGTCAAGACGACCAATTAGAACCTCGAGAGGGCACCTGTCCCGGCCTCTTCTCTGAGGGACGGCTCTGCCGACCAATAGCATAGGCGAGGAGAAGGTGCTTTCACTAAACAGGAGGCGGGGGAACTAGAATTTTTGAGACGCAGGTAAAAAGAGACCGCGGCGTGCTGGGCGGGCTGACAATGCAGTGTCCTAGCTGGGTCCTAGCTGAACGTGCTGGGGAGCAAGCCAGCCTCCGGGAAGTGAGGAAGGGAGAGGCATGCCCCGGGCCGGCGCCCAGGCTGTTGTCTTAGCAGAAGGGACCGTTTCCGGTCGTGCAGGCTGAGTCCCAACGGGGGACTCCAGGGTTGACCGGTGGTGGGTGAGGGGCTTTCCAGCTCAGCCTGGGAAAGTCGCCAGACCTGCCAGCTCCACCAGAGTGTGTCCGTCCCCCCCCCCCCCCCCCCCCGACAACACTTGTGATGCCCAGACCAAATTTTAGAGACTACGATAGATCTCAAGATCGTTGTTTTTTGTTTGTTTTGTTGATTTTTTGGAAACAGTTTCTCTGGGTATCCCTGGCTGTCCTGGAACTCGATCTGTAGCCCACGCTGGCCTCGAACTCAGAGATCCACCTGCCTCTGCCTCCAGAGTGCTGAGACTAAAGACGTGCGCCGCCACTGCCCGACTAAGATCTTCGTTTTTTCATAAGTGAGGAAACTGATGCTGAGCAAATCTCAGGCCTCCACATGGGACTCTTTCCCCCACTTTCATAATGCACTTTGTCTATTGGAAACCTCTTGTTTGAACCCGGGTGTACTGGCATGAGCCTGCTGTGCCAGCATTTGGGAAGATAACACTTCCGGGTCAGGTCATTCCAAGCCAGCCTGAACATGAGACCCTTGTCTCAAAACTAAGGTTTTTTGTTTTTTGTTTTTTTTTTAACTTCTTGAGGTGAAATGGAGTACAGAAAAGGATCCCAAATGGAAGAGGAAGTAAAAGAATACCTTTTTTTTTTTTGAGATTTATTTAATTTTTAAAGAATGTTAGCATTTAATGAACCTCCCTGCCTGGCTTCCAGCCACTTGGAAACAGACACCCCCAACACCTTTGATCTCCTCAGCTCTTCTGTTGCAGAATTTGGTCTTTACGATGATAGACTGCTTAGCCAGCTTTCCCACCCCCAGAACTTGGTGGTATCCCAGGAGCGGCTCCTGCCTTGGTTTTTGGCAACATCACCTGAGTCTGCTCACGGATCAGTGTCCACAGTTTATCCAGGTGGACAGTTCGGCCGAAGCTCTGGTTCCTCTTTAAGTGGTAATGACTCATACCAGCTTTCCCAGAGTCACCTGGATGATTCTGTTGAAGTTGATCCTGTGATGAGGCATGCCACTAGCATCCCCTTTCTCCTCCTGGACGCTTCCGGTACTTACCAATGTGGCTATAGGCTCACATGGTCCCAGAATTTCACAGTCCTTTCCTCAGTCTGGGTGGCATGGTGGCCTAAGGAAAGAGGAAGACAAGATCTCATATAGCCCGGGCTGGCCTCCAGCTGGCTATGTAGCTAGGAATGACGGTGCACTCTTCCTGCCTCGAAAGTGCTAGATTACAGGGGTGCACCACCATGCAAGGCTCACTTAGCTTAAAATCCTTTGTAGTGACACGAGACCCCAAGTCTGCTTCCTGACCACTGGTAACTGAAGTTGCTTTCTCCTCAGTCATACCGGCTATGCTAATGTGCCTAAACATTTATCAAATTATTAAAATTTGCGGGAGAGTTTAGCTGGCTGCTCTTGCAGAAGACTGTCTGAAGCAGCCCTAGAGTGGCTCCCTGTATCCAGCTTGCGGGGATGTCCAGGGCTCTCTTCCGGCTGCCACGGGCGCTGCATGCACATGCCTCCACACACACCCCGGCATACACAATGAAAAAGAAGTCAAGTCTTAGGGGGCTGGAGAGAAGATGGCTCAGAGGCTGTGAGCACTTGCGGCCCTTGCAGAGCACCCAGGTTTTGTTTGCAGCATTCACATGGCAGTTTACAACCATCTGAAACTCCCAATTCCATGGGACCTAGGCATTTATATATTCATATGGTATACATGCACGCAGGCAACACACACACAGATCTTTTTACAGTGTAAGTGTTCAAATAATAGCTGGACATGATGGCCCACGTCTTTAATCCCAGCACTGGGTGAGGGAGGGATGTGGGGGGAGGAGGCAGGCGGATCTCTGTGAGATGGAGGTTAGCCTGGTCTATAGAGCAAGTTCTAGGATAGCCAGGGCTACACAGAGAAACCCTGTTTCAATCCCCAACACACCAAAAAAAGAAAGCAGGTGTTGGAATCCGAGGCCATGCACATGTTAAGCAGATGCCCTACACAAGAACTATATTCCTAGTTACCACAGATAACAGAGTTGGTGTGAATGATGAACATCTGACTAGAGCAGTCAATGAATGGATCTGCTGGGCACTTACGCTGGTTTTAAATCCTCTTGTGATCCTGAAAAGGCTATACTCCTTACATTTACTGGTGTAGACTTGCCCCTACCTATCATGTACAATAATCTCATCTGCTGTTTCCCCTCGACAAAGTCACTCCACAGAAAAAACTAAGTGCCTAGGTTCTAGAAGATGCCCTAAACTCTGGAAAAGATTCACCCTTTCCCCCACCTTAACAGCTTGTCCTTTGCACATGCCACGAGGCCACTGGACGACAGGAAGAAGCCTGTGATTTTGGACTTGTTTTCAGTAGCTTGTGAAGAATTTGTTTCAACTGTTCCCATTTGCATCTTGCCTTTGGGAGCAGGAAGTGAGATCAGGGTCCCCCTTTTCTCCATTGTCATTGTCCGTCAAATTTTTTTTTTTTTTTTGAGACAATGTCTCATATAATGCAGTAATGCAGGCTGGCCAAACTCATTATGTAGCCAAGGATGACCTTGAACTCCTTCCTCATCCTCCTGTTTCCACTTCCCACGTGCTGGGATTACAGGTGTGCACCACCATATTGGTTTTATCTGTTGCTGGGGATCAAACCCAGGGCTTCGTGCATGATAGGCAAGCACTCTACCAAGTGAGCTACATGTAGCCCTATACTTTTTTCTTTTTCTTTCTTTTTCTTTTTTCTTTCTTTTCTGGCTTTGTACTCGAGATATAGAGACCGCGGACTGCTCAGGAGTCCCCATTTTCCTCTTCAGAGTTAAAATTAAAAGTGAGAAAATCTACTACTACTTCCTAAGAGGAGAGGACTTACCATCTACCAATAGTTCCCTCTTTATGTCTCCGGTAAACCATGAATCCCATGAGCCATCTGGTGGCTGGATCTGAGCTAGAACCCAGAAGCTAGTTCTGGGGTCAGGTTAAGGAGAATAGGTCACAGTCACTGGACAGTGAGGTCACAAAAAGGTTTATGTGGCCCAGACTCCATGGGGGTGGAGCCTAGATGATCGAGGGGCCCTAGAGGTCCCCCAAGCCCAGACTGGGGACATGGTGTGGGAAAGGCAGCGGGGACAGGGGCCTGGGGCCTGGGGAGCCAAGGGGCCTGGAGAGATGAGGGCAGGAGCAGGGAGGGGACAGTCAGGATGTTGAGGAGAAGCCGGAGACAGAAGCTGCAAAAATTGACCAGGCTGTGCAGACAGGAGGAGGAGCTCAGGGTGAGGGGGGTGGCAAGGCCAGGGAAGGGCAGGGATTGACTGACAGCAAGAAATCCGGGGAGAGGCCAAGGAATAAGGCAGGCAAGGGAGGGATGACGGCCTGAGGTCCGGGAGAGAGATGGGAGGGCTGGAGTTGCTAGCACAGAGCTGGAGTTGGATGAGCCCTAAGGCAGGCCTTTACAGGGACATAACAGTTTGACAGCAGAGAAGGAAAGCAGGTGTGACCCCCACAGAACCCTTTGCTCCCTTTCTGCCCTGGCAGGTGAAGCGCAGCTGCCCTTCCTGCGGTCTGGAGGCCGGGAATGAGAAGGAGAGAGGGAACCCTATTTCTGTACAGTTGTTCCCCCCAGAGCTGGTGAGTCTTTAGGGTCTGGTGAGGGTTGTGAATGTGGGGCTGAGGGGCAGCCCGTGACTCCCCCCCCCCGCTCCCCCCTCCTGCCCCTCCACAGGTGGAACACATCGTCTCATTCCTCCCCGTCAAAGATGTTGTCGCCCTAGGCCAGACCTGCCACTACTTCCACGAAGTGTGTGATGCCGAGGGCGTGTGGAGACGCATCTGTCGAAGGCTCTGTCCACGCGTCCGTGACCAGGGCTCTGGTGCCCGGCCCTGGAAGAGAGCTGCCATCCTTAACTGTACACTTCCCTCAGTAACTTCTTCTTCTCCTTGCCTCTCCCCTTCCTTATTCTGGAAACTTCCTTCTTGGTCAAGTTGCCTGGTGATCTTTGCACTCCCTGGCAACCTTTCTCTAGAAGAAACTGGTTAAACTCAAACATACTCCATGGAGTACTTCCTCCAAGGTTCTCTGGTCACCTCTGACAGACATCCAATTCACAGCTCAGGACCATTTCAGCCAGGTCTCCCTGCATGTACCAACTCTTCCAGATCTTACCCTAGAGACACCCCTAGTCCCCAGACCTGGAGTTTCGCCCTCTTTTAAATCAGAGTTAACTTTGTCAACTTTTGCGTATATCGTGTGTGTGTGTGTGTGTGTGTGTGTGTGTGTGTGTGTGTGTGTGTGTGTACTGATGCATCTGCTAGTGTAGTCACATGTGGAGGCCAGAGGTTGACATTAGTTATCTTCCTCTATCCCTCTCTACCTTACTTTTTTTAATATTTATTTTTATTTTATGTGTATGGACATTTTGTCTGCACGCGTGCCTATGCACAACATGCATGCAGTGCCTGTGTAGGCCAGAAGAGGGCATCAGATCATCTGGACCTGGATTGCCACGTGGGTACTGGGAACCAAACCCCGGTCCTCTGGAAGAGCAGCCAGTGCTCTTAACCACTGAGCTGTCTCTAGCCCTGCCTGAGGTTTTTATTTGTTTGTTTTTGTTTTTTTGAGACAGGGTTTCTCTGTGTATCTTTGCGCCTTTCCTGGAACACACTCTGTAACCCAGGCTGGCCTCGAACTCACAGAGATCTACCTGCCTCTGCCTCCTGAGTGCTGGGATTAAAGGCGTGTGCCACCACCGCCCGGACCGCCCGGCCTGCCTTAGGTTTTTAAACAGGCTCTCACTGAACCTGGGGCTTGCCATGGCTAGACAGGATGGCCAGCAAGCCCGGAGATCCTTCTATCTCTCCCTTCCCCTTTCCCCAACCAGTGAATGCTAGCATTAAAAAATATCCATGCCAGCTTTCACGTGGGTGCCAGGGCTCTGAACGCAGGTCCTCATGCTTGCACAGCAAATGCTTTACACATGACCCACTGCCCCAGCTTTGTGACCTGATGACAGTTGAGATGAGGCAACTCTCTCTTTTCTCATGTTTATGTGTGTGGTGTGTGTGTCATATGTGTGCATGGTTGCACGTGCGTGAACACATATGCACACTGGGGTATGTGCATGTAGAGACCAAGGTTGATCTCAGGAATTACCGTCAATCACCCTTCACTGTATTCAATGAAGCAGAGCCTCTCCCTCAGTCAGACTCAGAAGTCTTGTTAGCTAGCTTGCTCTGAGGCTCCTGCTGCCACGTCCGAGTCTCCCAGTTTCGGGGCCAGAATTACAGGTGGTCAAGAAGGCCATCCAGTATTTACACCTCAGCTCTGGTCCTCATGCTTGCAAGGCAAGGACTTAGCCACGGAGTCACCTCCCCAGCCAGAGATGAAATACTTCTTTGTTGTGGTGGCTGTCCTGTTTATTGTGTGACAGCAGTACCAACTCCGTAGTTATGACAACCAGTCTCCCTGAGGGACAAAATCACCCCAGCTGGAGAGAGAACAGTGATCCAAATACTCCAGAAAGGCGCTACCTGATTACGTCTTTCACACATAGAGTTAGAGAAACAGCCACAGCCGGAGGTGAGAGGAGATGCCTGGCCTTTCTTGGCCATCCCTTTCTGCTTCCTTTCTGTGTTTATTCTTATACTTCCTTGATGTCTCTGATTCAAGGCGGGACTAAAGAAATGCTACTGAGAAGCGCATGTGTGGTCCTGGGATGAAGTGGGACAGATGTAGGGTATAAACCAAGTTTTCTGTGTCACCTCAGGAAGGAGTCTGATCCCTAGTCCTGGGGGTGGAAAAAAGCTAAATTCCAGGGTGTCTGGCAATGAGCCAATCTAGCTCCCCCTCGCTCTGACTCTTACAATCATGTCACCTCAGCCTTGGAACCATTTCCTTCTGGTCTTCAGATACAAAGGGCCTGTATTTCCAGGCCTTCGGAGGACGCCGCCGATGTCTCAGCAAGAGTGTGGCCCCCATGCTAGCCCATGGCTACCGCCGCTTCTTACCCACGAAGGACCACGTGTTCATTCTTGACTATGTGGGGACCCTCTTCTTCCTCAAAAATGCTCTGGTGTCCTCCACCCTTGGCCAGATCCAGTGGAAGCGGGCCTGCCGCTATGTGGTGTTGTGTCGAGGTGCTAAGGATGTGAGTAGGGGAATTCTGGGTGCTGAGAATCCACCTTAGTGGTCTTGAGTGGTCTCTCCCTTAGGGAGAGATGTCAGGACATCTACCCTCTCCTAGAGAACCGAAAGTGATCCATTTATCTGTCATTTGCTTGGTTTTTTGGTGCTGGGAATTGAACCCAGGACCTCACACATGCTAGGCAAGCATTCTATCACTGAGTTAGAGTGCCAATCCTAAATAAGCTCTCATTTCTTAACCCTGGGCCCCATCATCTCATTTCCCGTCCCATGATCTGCCCTAGCCTTATCCCATTCAGAGTCTCTAGATCCCAGACAGCCTCACTTTGTGCCACAGTTTGCCTCCGACCCAAGATGTGACACAGTTTACCGGAAATACCTCTACGTTTTGGCCACTCGGGAGCAGCCAGCAGTGGTGGGCACCACCGGCAGCCGGGCCTGCGACTGTGTGGAAGTCTATCTGCAGTCCAGTGGGCAGCGGGTCTTCAAGATGACATTCCATCCCTCCATGAGCTTCAAGCAGATCGTGCTGGTTGGCCAGGAGACCCAGCGGGCTCTACTGCTCCTCACAGGTGTCCCCTACCAAGCAGTGATTTGCAAATGTCTAGCAGATTCTTCGGGGTCTGCTCCAGGGGAGAGGAAGGAGGAGTCTGTCAGAGAGAGTTCTACCTTCTCCTGCTCCACAGCTCTCAACCCGAAAAATTCTAGAATTCTGCATAGAATTTCAGATAAAGGTCCTTCTCGGGCTGGGGGTGTGTAGATCCATCTATATGAAGCACCAGGTTCAACTCCCAGCACCATATAAAGTGGGTGTAGTGATACATGTCTATACTCCCAGTATTTGGAAGGTGGAGCCAGGAGAATCCTAAGTTCAAGGTTATTCTTAAGCTGCATAGTTTGAGACCAGTCTACATAAGATCCTGTTTCAAAAATAAAAATGCAGTGCTGAGTAGATGGTACAGTGGGTAGAAGACTTGTTGCAACAACCATGAGGATGTGAGCTTGGATTCCCAGAACCAACAGAAAGGTAGTTCAAGTTGGTAATCCTAGCATTCTTTTTTTTTTTTTTAAAGATTTATTTATTATGTATACAGTGTGCCTACATATATGCCTGCATGCCAGAAGAGGGCACAAGATCAAATTTTAGATTGTTCTGAGCCACCATGTGGTTGCTGGGAATTGAACTCAGGACCTCTGGAAGAGCAACCAGTGCTTTTAACCTCTGAGCCAGCTCTCCAGCCCAATCCTAGGACTCTTATAGTGAGATTCAAGATGGAGACAGGAGACTCCCAGAAGTCCGCAGGCCAGCTAGGCTGGCCTATGTAGTGGTATTGGTGAGACTCTAACTCAGGCAAGGTAGCTGGTAAGGACCAGCACCCCGGTCGTCCTTTGCCTCCTGCGCATGCACTGTGGCGTGTGAGCCCACACTTACAACAATGGTTTAAGTAGTTTGGAAATCACTGCTGTAGTGAATATCCAATCTTTCAACTCTAATCCCCTCCTATCCTCCGTGCCAGGCACTTCACTTTATACCCCAAGTTGCCCCCTCCCCCTTTCCCAGTGTCCTCTATAGTTGACTGCACCCTCCTTAAGCCTGAGACCCTGTGGATTCCGAATGCAGGCGGGAGCCTAAATGCCCAGACTCCCTTCTTCCCAACACTCAAATTAGGGGCTGCAGCATCTAATCACTGGGTGTGCTCTCCACTAATCTCTCATGCTGAAGTTCCTCCATGTTTTACTTTCAGGGTTGGAGGCTGGGGGCTGGAAGTCATTCTCTCTCTCTCTTTTCCTTTCTTTCTTCTTCCTTTTTAAAACTTTTAAAAAATTTTTCCCAAGACAGGGTTCTCTGTGTATCCCTGGCTATCCTGGAACTTGCTCTGTAGATTAGTCCGCCCTTGAACTCGGGCCTGACTCTGCCTCTCAAGTGCTGGGATTAAAGGCGTGCGCCACCACCGCCCGGCTCTTTCTTTCTTCTTATTTTATTTTATTTTTGTTGTTGAGACAGAGCCTCACTGTGTAGTTCAGTCCTGGCTGGCCTAGAACTTACTATGTAGACCTCACTGTCTTTTAACTCACAGAAGTGTGTCTGCCTCTGCCTCCCAAATGCTGAAATTAAAAGTGTGTATCACCATACTTTATTCTCCTTCCCACTTTCACACGTGTGTGTGTGTGTGTGTGTGTGTGTGTGTGTGTGTGTACATGTATGGGGTATAGGTCCACCTTCAGTTCCTGTGTGTGTGTGTGTGTGTGCGCGCGCGCGCGCGCGCGCGCGCATGCACGCAGGTCAGAGGACAGCTTTCAGGAGTCATTTCCTCTTTCTACCATGGGTTTCAGTAGTTGGACTCTGGTTGTCAAGCCCATACAACGTGTAGCCATCTCACTGGGCCTCTACCCTTTTTCGTGCGTCTCTCCTCTAGGGTGATAAATGTTTCTGTTGAGTGACCCATGGGATGTTAATCTGGGCATTGATGAATCCCTTCCTCCATGGAATTGTATGCTTCCCTTCATATCCCCAGAGGAAGGGAAGATCTACTCCTTGGTAGTGAATGAGACCCAGCTGGACCAGCCACGCTCCTACACGGTACAGCTGACCCTCAGGAAGGTGTCGCGGTGCCTGCCTCACCTTCGTGTGACGTGCATGGCTTCCAACCAGAGCAGCACCCTCTATATCACAGGTAAGAAGCACCTCCCAGGGCCGGGGAGGTAAAAGTAAAAGGTAAAAGTACTGGTTGTGTAAGGTTGAGGGTAAGTTCAAGTCCCCGGAACCCACATAGAGCTGGACCCAGTAGCACATGTCTATAATCCCACGGGCAGAGAAGGGCATTCCCTGTAAACCTGTGGGCCAGCCAGTCTGGCATCAAAATGGCAAGAAACCCTACTTCAAACAAGGTGGAAGACACCGACCAATACCTGAGGCTGTCCTCTGATTTTTATATGTATGCTATGGCACATACATGCCAATATCTACATACATGCCAATATCATACACACACATCACATATCACACACACACACACACACACACACACACACACACACACACATACTAAAAAAAAAAAAAGAACTGTATTCCTTTCTCTCAAGACTCCAGTCTTGGGCAGACCCCTCCACACACTGACACTCCTTAGGCATGCTGGTGACTACGGGAAGGCTCCCAGCTGTCAGCTGTCGGGCTGGTGTGTTGATTGTATGAGACCCCTGCAGTCTCTGAGCTTTCACCATCAAGGTAGGGCCTTATCCCTAGGAAATGGGTGCCCAAAGCTGCTGAGCTGAGGGCTCCCGACCCCCCAGACCAGGGGGGAGTGTATTTTGAGGTGCATACCCCAGGGGTGTATCGTGATCTCTTTGGGACCCTTCAAGCCTTTGACCCTCTGGACCACCAGATGCCGCTTGCACTCTCCCTGTCTGCCAAGGTAGGATGCTGTGTGGAGGATGGCGGGCAGATTGCAGAGGGCTGGGCTCTAGGGGTTGGAAGGATATATGTGGGTGGGACAGAGGGATTCAGGGAGAGGTCAGCTGGGATCTGTTGGGGGGCAGTTCTGGAGCTGAGTTTCCTGGGAACTGAGTGCTCACATGCTCTTGCTGTCTTAATCTCCCTAGGTCCTATTCTGTGCTCTTGGCTACAATCACCTTGGCCTGGTGGATGAATTTGGCCGGATCTTTATGCAGGGAAATAACAGATATGGGCAGCTGGGAACTGGAGACAAAATGGACCGAGGGGAACCCACATTGGTGAGATTGTTTCCTAGCAACTCTTATCCAATCTCCTAACCCCGAACCCGGCTACTTTGCCACATTTCCTAGAAACCCCTTTCTCCTCCCCTAGGCAAAGCTAAGCCCATCATAGACAGCACCTGAGCTGCTGGTGCAGGCCTTAGCCAGGGCTGGTCCCAGAAGGTCTGTTCTGCACTGTGTGTGCAGAAGGAATTCAGGGAAGGAGTGGGCTGGGGACCTGGGTGTGTTGAAGTACTAGAAAAGGGGAGATGCAGCCCGAGAAGATGGCTCGGGGGTAAAATGCTTGTCTCGTGAGCATGAGGACCCAAGTTCAGATCCCCAATCCCCATGTAAAAAGCTGGACCCAGTTGTGAGCGCCTATGATGCCCGCACTAGGAGAAGGAGGCAGAAGGATCCCAGGGACTCGCTGGCCAGCCTGTCTAGCCAATCGGTGAGCTCCAGGTGCAGTGGGAGACCCTGCCTCAACAAAATAAGGTGGAGGGCAAGTGAGGAAGACAGTTAGCATTGACCTCGGGCCTCAGTAGCCACATGCATGAATGCACATCCCTAAATACAGACATATTTCTTAAAAGGGAAGATGGTAGCAGGGCCTGTGCGTTTGGGGAGATTCAGGTGAGGATAGAGAAAAGTATTCCATGCAGCGAGGACAAAAACAATGATGACGTTTATACACAAGACAGTAAAAAGACTGGCCAGGTGGACTAGATGTATCCATTGGTAGACAGCACTTACCTAGCATGTACAATGTCCTAAAGCGAGCCGGGCGGTGGTGGCGCATGCCTTTAATCCCAGCACTCGGGAGGCAGAGGCAGGCGGATCTCTGTGAGTTCGAGGCCAGCCTGGGTTACAGATCGAGTTCCAGGAAAGGCGCAAAGCTACACAGAGAAACCCTGCCTCAAAAAACCAAAAAAAAAAAAAAAAAAAAAAAAAAAAATCCCAAACAAACAAACAAACAAAAAAAAAAACAAGTGGAAGAGGAGGAGGCAGAAGAAAGTGAGTTCCAGGACAGCCAGGGCCACACAGAGAAACTCTGTCTTGAAAACACACACACACACACATAGCCGGGCGGTGGTGGCGCACGCCTTTAATCCCAGCACTCGGGAGGCAGAGCCAGGCGGATCTCTGTGAGTTCGAGGCCAGCCTGGGCTACCAGGAAAGGCGCAAAGCTACACAGAGAAACCCTGTCTCGAAAAATCAAAACACACACACACACACACACACACACACACACACACACACACACACACACACACCAAAACAAAATAAAACAAAACAAAAAACTGAGACAAGAGTGGCAGATGTAGGCACTGTCTGTCATTGTCACAGAATGAAAAGAGATGTCCTTGACTCAGGGACAAGGTTTAGTTGGTAGAATGCTTGGCTGGCATCATGAGACCCTGAGTTTCATCCCCAGCACTATGAAAACCAGGCAGAGTGGTGCATACCTATAATCCCAGCAACTGATATGTGGAAAAAGGAGGATCAGAAATTGAAGATCATCTTCAGCTACACAATGAGTTCTAGGGCTAGCCTAGGCTACATGTGACCTGTTTTCTTTTTTTTGTTTTTTTGTTTAAATATTTCAAGACAGGGTTCCTGGCTGTCCTGGAACTTGCTCTGTAGACCAGACTGGCCTTGAACTCAGAGATCTGTCTGCCTCTGCCTCTCAAGCGCTTGAATCAAAGGCTTATGCCAGCCACCACCACCTAGACCAAGGCAATTCTTATAAAAGAAAAGCATTCAATTGGGGGTTTGCTTACAGTTTTAGAGGATTAGTCCATTATCACCATGGTGGGAAGCAGACAGGCATGACACTAGAGCAGTAGCTGAGAACTGTGTATCCTGACCCACAGGCAGCAGAGAGAGACCTGGCATGGACTTTGAAACCTCAAAGCCCACCCTCAGCAACACACCTCCTCCAAGGCCACACCTCCTCCAACCAGGCCACACCTTTAAATCCTTTAATCCTTCTCAAACAGTTCCACTCCCTGGTGACCAAGCATTCAAATATATGAGCCTATGGAGGCCATTCTTATTCAAACTACCACATGACCCTATCCCAAAATAAACAGAGCTGTGGAAGTGGTTCATCAGGTAGCAGCACTGGCTACCAAGTACCAGAACCCATATAGTCAGACTTTGTGGGCACAGGGACAGATTGCCAGTTTGCAGGGCAGGGCCGACCTTCTGGGACAGGACCCTCTTTTCTTCCCTCCCAAGACTGTACTCTGCGCCACGTCCTCTAGTATCCCACCTTAAAGCCCTGGCCATGTTGTCCGTCTGTCCTCAGGTTCATTATCTACAGCGTCCCATTGCCCTGTGGTGTGGCCTCAACCATTCCTTGGTGCTGAGTCAGACTTCAGATTTCAGCAAGGAGCTGCTGGGGTGCGGCTGCGGGGCTGGAGGCCGCCTTCCTGGCTGGCCTAAGGGGAGTGCCTCCTTTGTCAAGCTACATATCAAGGTCAGAGCAGGGTCAGGCAAGCGGATGGACAGGGAGGGCAGAGCGGTAGAGCCAGGTGGCCCTCAGGACCATAGCCAGGACTCAACTTCCCTTCTCTCAAAAAATTTTTTCAATTTATTTGGGAGGGGTTATGCCACAATGTGCCTGTGGAGGGCAGAGGATAACTTGTGAAAGTTAGTCCTCTCCTTCAGCGATGTTGGTCACCAAGCTTGGCAGCAAGGTGAGCCATCTCACTGGACTCCTTTTTCAAGCAGATTCTCACTGTATAGCCCAGGCTGGTCTTAAAGGCTAGATTTCCCTGGCTCTCCTGTGTCACCATGCCCAGCTTGTACCTGGGACCCCTGCAAGGGACCCATTGGCTCCATGTCCCCTGGATCATGAAATCTCCTTTTCTTGCCCCCCACACTGCTCCCCGCTCGCTCTCTCCTTAGCTGAGCATGCTGGCTTTATCCAAGTTCACATGGTCCTGGAACAGAGCAAGCTGAGGCTCTCTTCCTGGTTCAGGGCCTGTCTGAGAGGGATCAACATAGCATCAGGCTTAGGCAGCTTCCTGGAAGCCTGGCCGTGCTAAGCCTCCCTCAGCCCCGCCCCTTCTCTCCTCTAAGGTTCCCTTGTGTGCCTGCTCCCTCTGCTCCACCAGAGAGTGTCTCTATATGCTGTCCAGCCACGACATCGAACAATGCCCAGTCTATCGAGACCTGCCAGCCAGCAGGGTGGGGGGAAGCCCTGAACCTAGCCAGGGGGCTGGAGCCCCTCAAGACCCTGGGGGAACAGCCCAGGCCTGTGAGGAGTACCTCAGCCAGATCCACAGTTGCCCCACGTTGCAGGACCGAATGGCGAAGATGAAGGAGATTGTGGGCTGGATGCCCTTGATGGCGGCCCAGAAAGATTTCTTCTGGGAGGCTCTGGACATGCTGCAGAGGGCTGCTGGTGGGAGCGGCCCAGGCACCTCGAACCCTGAGAGCTGACCCTCCTCTAGCCTTTACTCCTGAAGGAAATCGGGCCCTGGGCTAGGGGCTGAGGAGAGATGGAGAGCAAACTACACTGTGTGTACACGGGAGCTGGGGTGGGGGTGGGGCTGGGTCGTGGGGAGTAGTGCTGGACGTGTCAGGGTAGCGTAGGGAACTCTTTTTTAAATATTCAGGGGGCTGCCCAGGTGGGGCCCCAACCTGACTATCATGGACAAGAAATTTGATGGACAATAGAATAAAAGGCTAAAGGAAGGCCTGTTTTGAAACCCTGGGCCTTACGGGGGACAACGGGGAAGGGATGGAGGGGGCCTTGGCTGGGGAAGAGGGAGGGAGGGCAGAAAGAGCCCAAGCTGTTGGTTTCCTGAGCAAAGCCAACACCCCAACTCACTCCAGAAAGCTCACTTCGTCTTTCTTTTTTTTTTTTTTTTTTTTGGTTTTTTTTTTTTTTTTCGAGACAGGGTTTCTCTGTGTAGCTTTGCGCCTTTCCTGGAACTCACTTGGCAGCCCAGGCTGGCCTCGAACTCACAGAGATCCGCCTGGCTCTGCCTCCCGAGTGCTGGGATTAAAGGCGTGCGCCACCACCGCCCGGCTCACTTCGTCTTTCTGATGGGGAAGTCGGGCCTGGTCTTGTGGAGTAACTCAAGTCAACACACCTTGTTTTCCCAGTTTGGAACCTCCGCTGGGTCTGGAACCTTAACGCGAATCTGTTCATTTTGTTTGTGACAGCGCCTCACTGTGTGGTCCAGGCTGGCCTCTTTAACCACCCTGACTCTGTCTCCAGAGTGCTAGGATTGCAGGTGTGCTGTCTGCACACCTTGACTGGCCCAGGGATCTAAGTGTCACCTCTACTCCTGGAATCACCTCCCCCTAGCTAGCCCTGAGTCCTAGCAGTCAGCACCCTCTTCTCTTTCTGTCGTTTTCCAAGCCCAGTCTCGTCTCTTTTCCCTTTCTGCTCCTTCCCCTCTGCCCAGGGAAAGGCATACTTGGTGCCTCCCTTAACCCTTCTCCAGTACTTAAAATAGTTGGAAGAGAAAATAAGGGGTCAGAACTTTCCTTCCTTGGCCTTATCTGGTCCAGTGTTAAAAGGAAAGCCATAAGCATGTGCAGAAGATCCTGGGTAAGGGGTGCAGGCCTGTAATCCCAGCACTTGGGAAGCTGAGGCAGGAGGATTGAAAGTTCCGGCTAGCCAGGACTTCACGGCAAGACTGTCTTAACAACAACAAAAACTGTCTAGAAATGTGCAGTGGGCCAGGGGATGATGGCCAAGAGACTCAAGAAGGACGTCCTCTCTGGATGCCGAGAGAACAGCAGGTAAAGAGATCCATCTGCACCTGGAAGTCTACAGGAAAGACCGGGTTCTCAGGCACAGGACAGAGTGGAGTCGCCGATGACATCACTCGATGCAGACGATGCTCTTTCTGCCTCCTGTAGCTCCCAGCATCCGTTAGTCAATCAATATATGTCCAAGACATAGAGAGGCCCCTGCAGGGACTCACCACTGTCCCAGCTGTCTCCCTGTCCCGCCTCCCCTGCCGCCCGCCCAGTTGGCCAGTCCCCACGCCCACACACCCAGGGCTGCCTCATCTGGTACTGATTATCCTGCTGCTGCTGCTGCTGTTGCTGCTGCTGCTGCTGCTGCTGCTGCTGAACTCAGCTGCTGCTTCCAGCACTCCCCCTACACAATGCTGCCTGCTGCCCTAACCTCCCTCCTGGGGCCATTCCTTGTGGCCTGGGTACTGCCTCTTGCCCGGGGCCAGAACCCCAACTACACCAGGTAGGTCTCATGTCTTCCAGATGGCGTCCAGAGGGAGCTTCAAAATGCTTGTGACTCTGGGAGGGCTGTGCCTTTAGGTCCTGTGAGCTCTTCTGCTAGCAACCCCTCACATTCCCCATCTTCCTCTAAGATTCATACTCTCCCCATCTGCTGCGAAGTCATGCTGCCCTGCAGACCACCACTGTCCCACTACTTCACTACCGTTCTCCTGCCCTAAGTCTGCCTTCCACCCAGAGCCATGCCTCTGCGTGGAGTTTGAACCCAGAAATCCAAGACCTTGAACTTGTCTCTTAGCTGACATTCAGGAAATGAGACTGGGGGAAGGGCAGCACGCAGGAGTCAGATACTGGTCCTTAGCTGGCACTGGAGCAGGGCAAAGGTGGGAACCCCTAACCGTATGTCCACTGCCGCTCCCTCAGTTCTCTGGCCCCCTCCCCCTCATGGCCTCATGGCTTGTCACATCTGGAAGTAGTTAGGCGCGGCTCCTGTCCTTGACTGCCAGGCAGGGCAAGGAGGGGGGTAGAGAAAGCTAGGGGGACTGAGGAGGATTCCGGGAATTCCTGCCGGCGTGGGGGTGGAAGCTCCAGGGGCTGGAGAGATGGTCCCGTTGCCTGGCCCCCTTCCCTGGTCCTTGGGCAGGAGTCCCTGCCCCACAGGCCGAGGCCTTGCCAGCATCCTCCTCCTTTATTGCCCGGGGCTTCACATTCTCAAACCATCTCTCCAGTGGCTCTGTTCTGCCTGACACCTCTTCTGTCCTCCAGACCTGTGTTCCTGTGTGGAGGGGACGTGACAGGAGAGTCGGGTTACGTGGCAAGTGAGGGTTTCCCCAACCTCTACCCCCCAAATAAGAAGTGCATCTGGACAATAACGGTGAGAAGGTCCCTCCGGTCATCACTGCCTTTCATCAGTTTCTCTAACAAAACCCTGACAGCACAGGGTTACCCTCCCCACCACCAGGCATCACTGAAATCTACAAAGCCCTCTTCTCCCCTTTGGATGTCAGGCTCCATAGTAACATGCTCTGACATATCCTGACCTTCCTATCCCTTTGTCCTCCCCACCACTGGAAATGGAACCCTGGGACTTAGGCATGCTGGGCCGGAACTCCACCACTAAGGGACATCCCAGCCATATATATAAATTTTTTTTTTTTCCGAGACAGGGTGTCTCTATGTAGTTTTGGTGCCTGTCTTGGAACTCACTCTGTAGCCCAGGCTGGCCTCGAACTCACAGAGATCCACCTGGCTCTGTCTCCTGAGTGCTGGGATTAAAGGCGTGCGCCACCACCGCCCAGCCATCCCAGCCATTTATTCATTTAGGTTTTTTTTTCTTTGTGTGTGTGTGTGTGTGTGTGTGTGTGTGTGTGTGTGTGTGTGTGTGTGTATTCACACATGCATGTGCACAGAGGTCAGAGTGGTATGTTGGGTGTTCTAGAGTTCTACCCCTCTCCACCCTATTTCCTTGAGACAAAGTCTCTACATCTAGAGCTAGTGTGAGATCAGCAAGCCCCGGTGACGCTCCTGTCTCTGCCTCCCACAGGGCTGGGTTCCAGGCATACCCGTGGAGACTTTTAACTGTGGCCTTTTATAAAGGTTCTGGGGATTTGAACTTGATTAAGCACTTTACTCACTGAGTCATCTCCCCAGACCCTTTTATTTTTGAGAGAGGGTCTCTGTAAATTATGGGCCTTGCATTTATGACCCTCCTGCCTCCGTTTCCCAAATAGCTGGGATCACAGACATGCACTCATGGTGCTGAGCCTTAATTCTTTGTTTCTGGAGACAGTCTCACTGTGTAGTTTAGGCTGGCCTTGCTTGAACTTTGAGGCAGTCTGGGATTACAGGTGTGAGCTGCCATACCTAGCTTAAGCTTTCGTGGGTTTTTTGTTGTTGTTTTCTTATGGTAACGAATCCCTCCAGAGACCAGGAGCAGGGAGTAGAGCCCAGGCCCTCTGTGTGCACTGGCCAGGGGCCTTTCCGGTTATGACTATTTCTCTAGGACGTACTTGGGGGAGGGGGTGATGCCCACTGTTAGGGTTGTTTGGGGCCTGATTTTGTGGGTGCCTCTTTTGTCAGGTGCCTGAGGGCCAGACTGTGTCCCTGTCCTTCCGAGTCTTCGATATGGAGCTCCACCCTTCTTGCCGCTATGACGCTCTGGAGGTCTTTGCTGGCTCTGGGACCTCAGGCCAGCGGCTTGGGCGCTTCTGTGGCACCTTCCGGCCTGCACCTGTAGTCGCCCCTGGCAACCAGGTGACTTTAAGGATGACGACGGACGAGGGCACTGGGGGACGAGGCTTCCTGCTCTGGTACAGCAGTCGGGCCACCTCAGGCACTGGTGAGCATCCTCACCTCCTCTTTCCCCTCTCCTGGCCCCACCCTGGTTCAGGTCCCCACCCATGCCCTAACCTCGACCCTCCCCAGATTACTCCCAAGAGTTAGGGCCACCATTACTCCCTTTCTTCTCACTAACCGCCCCTTCAGTCCCTCCTCCTGGTCTTCTCTCCCTCTCCCGCTCCCACCTACCCCTCTTCCAGGGCCTCCCCCAGGTGCGAGGCGGAAATGGGTCATGGACCCGCGGGTGGAATGGGCGGCCTGGGGTTACTGGGACGGTGAGTAACTGCCCGCCCCCCTCCGCAATCGGGCTCCTCTGACAGGAGTAAGGGGGCACCCTGAAGCTGGGGGACTAGGATTCCCTCATCTGGAGCCCCCTGTACCCAGCTCTGGGATCCCGATTGCGGTCCCATCACCCCCTCCCAGCGGCACAAAGTCTCTGTGGATGTTTCAGGCAGACCTCATCAGAGGGGAGGGCCCCTCACAACCTGAGAGCTCTCTAGCCTGTTCAGAGGACTCTTCTGCTAGGCCGGGATGGAGAGATGGGATCTCCTAGGGGAACAGGCGTGGTGTGGCGGAGGGTCGGGGAGGGGCCAGAGGGATCCATTCACACATTTCCTCTCTGTTGGGCGCCCCAGCCCCGTCTTCCCAGCTGTTTGCTGACCCGCCTCTCTACTGTTCCCCTTCCTGTGCCCTCATCTTGAGACCCATGCCAGCTCCCAGTCTAGAGCTTTCTACTCTAGCTGACCGAGGGTCTCCACCGCCCCCCACCCGGCCCCTCTCTCCCCTTCTCAGAGCACCAGTTTTGCGGGGGGCGGATGGAGAAGGCGCAGGGAACCCTGACCACGCCCAACTGGCCTGAGTCGGACTACCCCCCGGGCATCAGCTGCTCCTGGCACATCATCGCACCCTCTAATCAGGTACTGACCTTCTTGCCGAGGCTGTCCACCAGGCACCCAGGCAGCATCTTAAAGGAGCCAGCCAGCAACATTTTATTGAACATCTGTGTCCTGATCCCTGAGCTTGCCCTGGAAGAGACCAAAACCAGACCCAGACTAGCTTACACGCAAGCCAAAATGGCAGACGGGCACTCCTGGCCTTAGGGGAGGGAAGTACCGGGTCCTGATAGGAACTATGTGTGGAACTCATGGGGCGGAAGGAGTTCTGTCCATCGGGGGCTAAGATGCACTGGACCTTGCCCACCAGGGCAAAGGATGCTCCCGGTGGGATATAGGCACGTGTGTGTATGACCCTCAGGCTAGCAGTGTGAGAACATTAAAGAGAGAACAAGGGTACTTACTATTGGTACTACTACCAAGTATACTGGGGCTGAGGAGGGGCGGGGCACTACTCGTCCACCTTGGCCTCTCCCAGGTGATCATGCTAACCTTCGGGAAGTTTGATGTGGAGCCCGACACCTACTGCCGCTATGACTCTGTCAGCGTGTTCAACGGCGCTGTGAGCGATGACTCCAAGAGGCTGGGGAAATTCTGCGGAGACAAGGCCCCCAGGTGAGGGATGGATCCCGGGATGGGCAGTGGTGGGGCTAACTCCTCATCCCTGTGTGAACAGTTGCCAAAGGCCGTGCAGGGTTCGGGGAGGCTCAGCTGACCAGGCAAGATCTGAGCTCTAGGATTCCAAGCCTTTGGTCTGAACAAGTGTAGGAGCTGGTGAAGGTTTAGTGGATCTTCCGAGTCTACAGAGTCTGATGTCAGAGGACTAGTTTAAGGTCGGCCACTGGGGGACAGAACAGGGTGCACAGTCTGCCTTGGTGTCTCAGCCGGTTCTCTCCTGCCCATGGCAGCCCCATCTCTTCTGAAGGGAATGAGCTCTTGGTCCAGTTCGTATCGGATCTCAGTGTCACCGCAGATGGCTTCTCAGCTTCCTACAAGACCCTGCCACGGGATGCTGTGGAAAAGGAGCCAGCCCCAAGCCAAAGGGAGGATGTGCAGCATGGTCCCCAATCCCGCTCTGACCCAAAGACAGGAACTGGGCCCAAAGTCAAGCCACCCAGCAAATCTAAACCCCAACCTGCAGAGAAACCAGAGGCCTCCCCTGATACCCAGGAGACTCCAGTGGTCCCGGGTGAGTGTGAAAAGGTGGGAGAAGGTACTGGAGAGATGGCTCAGTGGATAAGAGCACTGGTTGCTCTTCCAGAGGACCCGGGTTTGATTCCCAGCAACCACATGGCCACTCACAACCATCAGTAACTCCAGACATACATGCAGGCAAAACACCCATACACATAAAAGAAAAAGAAAAAGAAAAAGTGGAAGATGGGACATAGACTAAAGGAAGCACTAAGTTCTTCCTTGGTTCAGCATTCATTCATTCATTCATTCATTCATTCATTCATTCATCCATCCATCCATCCATCCATTCATTCAACACTCACTGGTGCCTGCCTCCTGTCAGTGTCTGGAACAGTGCTGGGAAGCAATGCCGTGTGGAGCTCTGAGTTTCCATCTATATGGCTGTTACAATTTCAGATATGACTAGCTAGGGCAGGGTTTGCCTAGAATCTCCCAGTGAGGGCTAAAGGCATGGCTCAGTGGTAGATCTTTTCTAAAATTCTCGCAATAAGGGGCCAGAAGTTCGGCTCAGCTGTAGAATGTCTGTCCCAGAATCCTCTAGCAAGAATCTGGGGTGTGACTTGGCGGCAAGGTGCTTGCCTGGAATCCTCCAGTGAGATTCAAAGGGTGTGGCTGTGCTGTAGAGTACCTGCCTAGCATCACCAGACTCTGGCTCTATTCCTAGCACTGCAAAGAAAGGAATAAATAGATAGGTTGATGTGAGGCCAGTGGTCCTGCCTGCCCTCCACAAGCAGCACTGTCTTTCCTAGATGCACCCAGTGTCACCTGTCCAAAGCAGTACAAGCGGCTAGGCACCCTGCAGAGCAACATGTGTACCAGTAGTCTGGGTAAGACTCTCCATCCTGCCCTCCCGCTCCTCATGCCCTCCTCCAAGCCCAGCCCTAGCCCCTGGACTCTTACCTCTCACCCCCATCCTTCCACAGTGGTGACCGGAACAGTGAAGACCATGGTCCGAGGCCCAGGAGAGGGTCTCACTGTCACCATCGGTCTTATTGGTGTTTACAAAAGCGGAGAACTGCACCTGCCCTCTCCACCCAGGGACACCTCTCTGAAGCTCTATGTGCCCTGCAAGCAGATGCCCCCCATGAAGAAGGGTAAGGAGCCTGGGAAATGGGGATGGGTACTGAGCACACTGTAGTCACGAAGGTGGAAGGTCTGATCAAGAAGAAGGTGTCACAAGGTCTTGATAACTTGAGCTCTCACCCCGCCCTCCACAGGAGCCAGTTATCTGCTGATGGGTCAGGTGGACGAACACAGAGGCCCCATCCTCCCTCCAGAGAGCTTCGTGGTTCTCTACAAGCCCAACCAGGACCAGATCCTCACTAACCTAAGCAAGAGGAAGTGTCCCGCCCAACCTAGGCCAGCTGCCTGAGGTCCCAGCCAGATACAGCCTCGGAATGTGGTGCTCTCATCCAAATAAATATTTCTTAACTCAGGAAGGGGTCATATATCAGCTCTATGGTTGTGTGTGTGGGGTGTGCATCTTGGATTTCAGAATACCTTTTCCTTTGGGTAATAGGAAAAGTACTAGAGGATGAACTTGGACTTACGCATGCTAGGCAAGTGCTCTACCACTGAGCTCTATCTTCAGCCTTCAGAACACTCTTTTAAGAACATATGGTAGGGGCCTGGCAGTGGTGGCGCACACCTTTAATCCCAACACTTGGGAGGCGGAGGCAGGCAGATCTCTGAGTTCGAGGATAGCCTGGTCTACAGAGCGAGTTTCAGGACATCCAGGGCTACACAGAGAAACCCTGTCTCAAAAAACCACAAAAACAAACAAAGAAACAAATGAACATACAGTAGGGGCAGGCAAGCTGGCTCAGTGGGAAAAGGTGCCTGCTGCCTAAAGACCTCCATTCAATCCCTGGGATCCATACGGTGAAAGAGAATTGACTCCTGCAAGTTGTCCTCTGACTTCAACAGATGCATTGTGGCACACACACAAAGAAAAAAAAAAAAAGAATAAAACAAAACCAAAGGAAATAAGGTAGGAGGCTGGAGAAACGGCTTAGTAAAGCGATCACCGTGCAAGCACGTGGCTCCCAGCACCCACAAAAGTAACCAGACACAACAGTATGTACCTGTATCCCCAGTTCTGGGCGGGCAGAGAGAAGAGGATCCAGGAGACTTGCTGGCTAGGCAGTCTAGGCCAGCAAGCTTCAGTTTCAGCGAGAGACCCTGTGTCCAAACAAGGTCGACGGATGTGACGGATGTGGGGCTAAAGGCATTGGCCGTTAGGCCTGATGCTCTGAATTCAACCCGTAGACCTTGTATGGTGGAAAGAGAGAATGAACCTCAACAAGTTGTCCTCTGCCTTCTACATATGCACTATGTGATGGGTGTCATGGCACATATGTCCGCACAAACAGACATACATGCACCAAAAATAAAAATGTGTTACTTAAAAATAAGTAATAAAGGGGCTGGAGAGATGGCTCAGAGGTTAAAAGCACTGGTTGCTCTTCCAGAGATCCTGAGTTCCATTCCTGGCACCCACATGGTGGCTCACAACCATCTGTAATGAGATCTGGTGCCCTCTTCTGGCCTGCAGGGAGACATGCTGTATACATAATAAATACATAAATCTTAAAAAAAAAAAAAAAAAAAAAGCGAACAAGTTAGAAGAATAAGTTGGATATGGCCACTCCATTGCTCCAGATGCTGAGAACTGGGCCACTGAGATGGCTTGCTGCCAAGCCTGATGACCCGAGTTCTCCCTTCAGGCTCACACGGTGGAAGGAGAGAGCCCACCCCTGGAAGTTGTCCTTTGTTTCTACAAATGCACTGTTACACACACACACACACACACACACACACACACACACACACACACACACACACACACACACAAATAAACAGGGCCGGAGAGATGGCTCAGCTGTTAAGAGCACTGGCTGTTCTTCCAGAGGACCCGGGTTCAATGCCCAGCACCCACATGGCAGCTCACAACTGCCTGTAACTCCAGTTCCAGAGCTTCTGACACCCTCATACAGACACCAATGCACATAAAAATAAGTGATTAATAAATGAACTGATGTACTTTTTAAAATTCTGAGGATGGTTCTCAAAATAGAGACCAATTTCACTGTGGGTCTTGCTCTCGATACTCTACAGCTTCCCTCCTCCCTCATCGCTTACTGTTACCTCCGGTGCCTCACTGTCCCGTGTCCCCGTCCCCCCTCCCCATTCATTCCTCTTCCCTTTTATTATTGTTTAAACAGGATCTCACTATCTTGCCTAGCATGACCTTCAACTTACTGTGTAGCCCTGGCTGGCCCTGAATTTGCAATCCTTAGTTTCTGGAGTATTGGAATGGCAGGTGAGTGCTACTACACCAGCTCTCCTAGTTCATGTCTCTCTCTCTTTTCTGTGTGTGTATGAACATGTGTTTAGAGGCCAAACGACAGCCTTGGGTGTCATCTTCAAAAACAACATCCACCTCTTGTTTCTTTTGATATTGTAACTTAAAAAAGTGTGTGTATGTGTGTGTGTATGTGTGCTCAAAGAGGCCAGAAGAGGGTGTTGGATCCCCTGGAGCTGGAGTTACAAGTGGCTGAGAGCTGACTAACATAGATGCTAGGAACTTGTGTCCTTTAAAAAGCAACAAGCAGCCGGGCGGTTGTGGTGCATGCCTTTAATCCCAGCACTAGGGAGGCAGAGCCAGGCAGACCTCTGTGAGTTCGAGGCCAGCCTGGTCTACAGAGCAAGATCCAGGACAGGCACCAAAACTACACAGAGAAACCCTGTCTCGAAAAACTAAAAACACAAAACAAACAAACAAACAAACAAAAAACCCACCTCTGAACCATCCCTTCCAGCTCCACCTCACCTTCCCCTTCACCAGTTTTGAAACAGACCTCCTGTGGAACTATAAGAATGCACTGCTATGCTCCACATTTTTGCTTCAGGATTACCACTCAGGCCTTTGTGCTTGCAAACCACCCCCCACTTCTAGGACAGTTCAGCTTCGGGGTTTTGCTGTTTCCCTCCATCTGGAATTCTTTCCCATAGATACATTTTGGATTCCTTCCTAAGTCTAGTCAGGTCTCTGCTCAAAGTTCATCTAATTCATTCCTTTGTCCTTGCCAAATGGCAGATTAAGTACTGAAAATACACTAGAAAACAAATGTCCCTGCATTTGGAGAGGACATTCTCTGGAGGAGAGATTTAACAAAATACGATGTCAAGTATCGAGAATGTGCTAGGAAGAAGCAAGACAAAGCCAAGTGGTGCTGGCACATGCCTCTAATCCCAGCACTTGGGAGGCAGAGGCAGAGTGATTCCAGGATGGCCAGGGTTACACTGAGAAATCCTGTCTTGGAAAAACAAAACAAAACAAAACAAAACAAAAAGCAAGGCAACAGCCAGGTGTGGTTGTAATTCCAGGTACCCTGAAGACAGAAACAGGACTGCAAGTTCAAGGTCAGTCTAGGCAAGATAGTTCTAGTCTCAGAATAAAAATTTTAAAAGGACTAAGGATGTAGCTTGTGGTTGAGCATTTGTCTAGCAAGGGTAAGACTCTGGGTTCAATCCTCAGGACCACAAAAAATAAACAAAACAAAGCGAAAGCATGATAAAAGGAAAACAAGGTTTTCAGGAAATGCTTTCCCCATAAAAACAATTTAGATTTAATTTTTTGTACTTATTTTGCACACGCACACACATGTACATATATGCACACAGTTTAGCTCATGTAGAGGCTGCTTCTCTCCTCCTACCGTGAGAGTCCTAAAGATCCAGCCCAGGCCTTTAGGCTCACAGAAACTCCTTTGCTGGGTGAGCCATCTTGCCAGGCCAGTGCTGTTGGTTTTGTTTTTATTTTGTCTTGAGATCGGGTCTCACTATGCAGCCCTGGCTGCCCTCAAACTCACAGAGATCCACCTGCCTCCACCTGGATCCAGAGTGCTTGGATTTGAAGTGTGTCCTATCATGTTAGCACCTGGCCCTAATGTTTGTGTTTTTTGAGACAAGACTTCACGATGTAGCCTTGGCTGGCCTGGAACTCCCTATGTGTAATAGACCAGGGTAGCTTCAAACTTCCGGCAATCCACCTCACCTGCCTTTAGTACTTGGGACTACAGGAATGAGCCTGACTTCTTTTGGTTGTTTTCTTTTTCTCTTTGTTGTTTCTCCCTGCCCCCATCATCATATTAATTACAGATAATTAGTTTTATAGAAATAAAGTGATCTCATCATGGCATTTTTATACATGTGTATAATGAATTTCGACTACATTCACTACCACTATGTCCGTTGATCCCTGTTCCTGTGGATTCCCTTCCCCTTCCCAGGTATTTCTGATTTCTTGGTGGTTCTTATTTTGGTGTTTTGGTGAACCAGTAAGTTTTATTGCGGTTGCTTCTAGGAGCACAGGCAACTTAATAGTGGTTATCCCAAGGAAGAAAATGTCTCTCCTTTCCCAGCAACCATTAGCCACCTAGAGGAGCTGGGCCTCATAAGACCTTCTTTAAAACTCTTTTTTAGGGCTCGAGAGATGACTGAGAGGTTAAGAGCATTAACTGCTCTTACATAAGTCCTAAGTTCAATTCCCAGCAACCACGCGGAGGCTCACAACCATCAACAATTGAGATCTGGTGCCCTCTTCTGGCGTGCAGGCAAACATGCAGCCAGAACACTATATGCATAATAAATTTAAAAAAAAATCTAAAAAGGAACTTTAGATTTGTTCATGTACATCTAGTGTTTTGTCTGCATGTATATGAACCACGTACCGGTAGAGGTCACAGGAGGGCGTCCGATCCCATGAAACTGGAGTTACATATGGTTATGAACCCTGTGAACGCTGGGACCGAACTCGGGTCCTTTTAACAGCTGAGTTAACCCTTCAGCACCCCTCCCCCCCTTTTTAAAGTGTAACCAAAGCTGGTTGAGACTCTTGCTTCATCCGGTTCTGTTATTGATTACTGACTATTAACCTTACGTCACTGTGCACACGTGTTTTCTCAGGCCCAAGTAGGAAGGAAAGAAAAGCGAAACGAAAAAAAGAAAAAGAAAAAGTCTAGTAGCGGCTGAGCTCAGAAAAGACACACTAGCTGGCAGCCCAGGAGCGCCTCTCCGAGTTTCTACCAGAGTTGGAACTCGGGACCCGTAAAACACTTATCCAGGATGCAGCCAATCATTAGCGCCGAGAGAGGCGTGTTTGGTCTTTGAAGACCACCAATCAGCGTACAGTTAGGCGGAAGCGAGACAGCATCAACCAATGAGAGAGGCCGTACGGCGGAAGTACCTCAAGGAACTTTCGGGAAGATGGCGACCTTAGCCCGGAGACAAGTTGACAGGAGGAAACTTTGACGACAAGGTGATTATCGTAGTACGAGCGGCCATTCAGAGGCGGAAGGCCGGAGACGGCACAGGCCGAGCTTAAGGGACGGGGTCAGAGACACAACCCGGTGACCTGGAGATCCGGAGGAC